CGGAAGATGAACTTATCAGTGAAATTGAAGAAAGGCAAAAAAAGCAACCAATGTCATTATTTATAATTTATCAGAATCAACACATCAAAACAAATCTGAGGAAGATCACGAGAGATGTATTACTATTATTAATAAGGCATGTCCAAATGTTACCATTAGACTCCGCTGATGACGTATTAGCAATCCTAAAGGCCTACAGAAGACATGACAATATCTATCTGAATCGTGATTTAACTTATAGGCAACGTAATCAGTGTTACAATATACGCAAGGAATTTCGAGAAAGGATTGCTACTGGAGAGGGAAACATTATACTTAAATATTATAAGGGTATTCCAAAGATTATAAAAAAAACGTCCCTCAATCCAGCAGCCAATAAATTCGCAACATTTTTCTATCTGAGAGTGATGTGGTCGTACTCACAGAAACATGGTTGCAGGAAAATGTTGAGTCATCTGAATATTTTAGTGGTAACTATGATGTGTTTCGTTTTAACGGAGGTTATAGTGGCCGTAGTCGTGATATCTTAATTGCTGTTAATTCTATTTACTCTTCAAAAAACCTAAATTTAACTAGTCCTGTGTCCTGTTAATATAATTGATCTTGTGGTGGTCAAAGTCTTTCATCAAACTAGTCTCTTTAATATAATAGCCATATATGTTCGTCCTGGAACTTCATTAGCCGATTATCAAACATTATTTGACTATCTCGAACAATCATTGAACATTTCCACAAAAACCATTATTGCAGGCGATTTTAATAATCCGAATTACAGTCCTTCTATTAGTTCATCTCAAACGCATTGTGTGCAAGCTCTACAACAGTTTGCCTTGTATAACGCCTTGAATCAGGTAAATACTGTGTGCAATAAATACGGTCGATTTTTTGATCTTCTATTATGTCCGGAAGATCTGAAACTTCCTGTCAGTAAACATGAATATCCACTAGTGAGAGAGGATTGTCACCATCCTACACCTTTAGCCACTGTGGATATAGATTTTCTTAAACAAGTTTCTCATTCTAGCGTCAGATCTGACAACTATTTTTTCTACAATTTCAAAAAAGCTGACTTTCGTAGTTTATATGGTGCGCTAGCTAATATGTCCTGGAATGTATTATATAAGATAAATAATATCGATGATGCTTGTAATTACTTCTATGATAAACTGGATAAGATAATTGCATCATGTGTACCAGTAGTGCAACCTAGAATGTCTACTTTTCCCAAGTGGTATTCTAAAGAAATGATAAATAAGAAAAAACACTTTAGAAAAATGCTTAAGAAAACGTAAAGATATCAAATTGATGATGAAAAGAGACTACAGCAGATATATTGAAGTTGTTGAACGCAGTATTCGCACTGATCCATGTAAATTTTGGTCATATATTAATCTAAAGAAAAACTCGTCTAGAATCCCTGGAAGAATGATCTATGGAGATCAAGAACTAATATCACCAGTAGAAATCGTCAATGTTTGCTAAACATTTTGGGAATGTATATATCTCAAATTCGTTATGCGATGTTAAAGAAAATGATACGCCCTCTAATAGTAACGAATGTGATATAAAAAATTCAACGTATGATAACAAATGTTCTACTTCATATGGCTGTGTGGCAGAATTCCGGCATTTTTTGTTAAGGATACTATCTGTTGTTTAAGTGAGCCACTTTGCTATCTTTATAACTTAATAATGCGTAGTTCGACTTTTCCTGGATGTTGGAAAACTTCTAAAATTACACCTGTGTTTAAATCTGGAAGTAAGGAAGAAAACACAAATTTTAGACCTATCGCTATTATAAACAATTTTGCTAAGACTTTTGATAGTATTCTAGCCGATGCCTTGCGTAGCCACACATCATCTTTAATTATTGACGAACAACACGGTTACATCAAAGGAAAATCTACTTGTACGAACCAATGCGAATTTATTCAGTTCGTATCGGATGCAATGAACAACTTTTTGCAGACCTTTCGAAGGCTTTTGATGGTGTGAATATAGACTTACTTTGGGAAAAACTCAATCATTTTGGTTTATGTAATGGTCTGATTACACTTTTTAAAACTTTGCTTGCCGATCCTAATCAATATGTGGAATATAGAGGATGTGAATCTTCACATTTTGCTACAGCTAGTGGGGTCACTCAGGGATCCACACTAGGTCCAGTATCATTTAGCCCCTTTTTATAAATGATGTAACAAAGTATGTAAACAGTAAAATGTTTCTTTATGCGGATGACTTGAAAATAGTTGGAGTAATTAAAGACATTAATGACTGCTTTGCACTTCAGAGAGATATAAATAATTTTACACATAACAGTGGACAGAACAAATTAAAAGTTAACCATAAAAAGTTTTTTTCAACGACTTTTTCACGCAAAGAAAATCCAATTACTTATGAGTATACTGTAGATGGTGTTGTAATAAAGAACTATACCGAAATTAGTGATTTAGGTATTATTATGGATTCGTCATTGTCGTTTGTCTCACACGTGAATAAAATTTGTAACGATGCCTACAAATCACTAGGACTAATCAAAAGAAATACGTCTAGATTTAAAAATGTAGATTACTTTATTACTTTGTTTAATTCATTGGTTAGGCCTAAATTAGAATACTGTTCTAATGTGTGGTATCCTTTTTATCAAATTCATATTACCGATTTGGAAAAAATACAGCACAAATTTTGTAAATTTCTTTACTTCAAAATATATGGAGTGTATCCTTGCCAGGGTTATCCAAATACACATTTGCTACAGGAATATAATTTGTACACCTTAAGATCTAGAAGAAATTATGCCGCAATTATATTTTTATATAAGATCCTTAATGGAATTATTAACTCTCCCTCATTATTGAATTATGTTAAATTGAGTGTACCGCATATTAATTTAAGACAGTTTCCATTATTTTATTGTGAATTTGCACGTACTAATCAACACATGTATTCTCCAATATTTAATCTGTTTAAAACATACAATGAACATACCGATCTCGATATATTTGGTAACAATTTTAATACATTTCAAAATAATTGTAAACGCTTAATCTTAAAATTTTAAATTATACATATAGTGATTCGGCGACTTTTAACTTATTATTTAATTAATTACATATTCATTTAGTTTTCATTGTTCTACAACTTTACATACTGTTTAAGAGATATTTGCTTAAGTTGTCATGATGTCTATACATAGTGAAAAACTAACAGTTATGTTATTCTTTACTTTGTGAGAAATCATTTTTTGTTTATATTATATCCTATTTGGGCTAATGGTCTGCCGGATGTCAATAAACATTATTAATATTATTATTATTATTAATATTCCTAGACATATTACTAGCTAGTGCGCAACAGTTGAACAGACAATTTTTATGTACCTATTACTATTTTGGTGGTATGTATTTTAATTTAATTTTGTTAATTATTGTATGTTTCGAACTGAAATAGTAACCGTTTTAAAAAACTAATATGGTAAGATATTTATCACCATTTTTACTGACAAAAATGGGGTAATAAATATTCGCTATCTCACCACAAATAGAATGTATTCTCCTATAAATACAGAAACTCTGTCTACCAATTTGTAGTCGAAACAATGAACACTTCGTCGTTAATTCTGACAGCAGCCCTCCTAACCTGCTGCTACTGCATGGGGCCAAGTAAGTAGTTTCTATTCCCCCATTCCCGTTTTTCTCATCATAATCCAAATTTCTTCAGTGCCAACTTTTATCATCAGATGCAATATACAACTTCCGAATTTTAATAACTGTTTATCGAATGCCATTCAACACGCGATCATCCAGATGGTAGTACCCATACCTGACTACGATCTACCAGTTATCGACCCTTTCAAGGTGCCAAGCCCAATCGTATACGGAAATGCAAGAACCGGTGTTCGACAAAACTACACCAACATAGAAGTTTTCGGACTGACGAATATCAACTCAACTAGCGCTACGTACTTATTATAAATAAAAAACGTGAAACGTGTCCACTTGAATAATTTTCTTCCAGATTCAATCCAGCGTCGGGAGTTTTGTCCATAAATATTACCTACAATGCGGTGCTTTTCACGTTTGATTATGGAATATATGGCAGATTTATCACCATACCGATGAACACGGTAAGCCGAAATAACTCTCTTGTATTAGGTAAGGAGATACTTTGTTTTAGACTGGATCATTGACAGTTTGTATTTTTCAGTTGATCCGGTTTTTGAACTAACATTCAACCTGCAAGAAGTACCAAGAAATGGCACCGTCTATTTTAGAGCGGTCAACAGTACGTTGTATATGGTACCTCAACAAGCTATATTTAATTACACGAAAGTGTTTGATGACCAGTGGCACAACGATGCTCTGAATGCCAAAATTAACCAAAATGGAAACGACGCATGGAAATACCTGCAAGAACTATTTCCACATTTCTACACACAATATTTTATAGTGTGGTTCAATAATATTTTGCGAAGAGTGCCGGCGCAGAACTTTTTCGATTAACGAGGAATCAAGATTTCTATATGACAAATGTATAATGCAGTAAAATAAAGTAGATAGGGTATACAAAGCATATTCGGAATGGTTATTTTAATTTAAAACTAGACACTTCGAAGATACATTGCATTTTTACTTATAATTAATCCATTAAATTTTCTGAAGCCCTGTAGAATTAATTAAATTAAAAAATTAACCGTACCTTTACAAACAAATGAAATACATGCAATCTCCAAGTTTATGTTAGTCGCAACCATCGTAATAAATTTCCGTTTCTAAATTATCGAGTACATCGTGAAGAACTCGTTCTAAACATGAATTTTCTCCTACATTCATGTTGTCCACGTCGACCAGAATTGCATTTTTCAACTCTTCCAGTACCTTTCGCGTGTACTCGAAGCTTCCAAAACTTTCCAGTATCTCCACAAAGAGTTTCTTACTTTTTATATCCAGTGGTCTTTTTTTTAACGGAGAATTAAGAAAATAAATGGTGATATTGGATCCTTGATAAAGTGAAACTTCTATTTTATATGAAGGATACTAAGAATGCGATGGTCGTTGGGATGGGTGTGAATTACATGCATTACAAGAAAGTTAAATTTTCCCTCATCAAGATCGTCTCAGAGAATCCGAACGGTTGCGTACTAGAAAATTACTTCAAACAAATGAAAAACTGGTAAGTCGGTTGCTTACCTTAGGACTGTGCAAATTTATGTAGTCGTCATATATCTGAAGAAATTCACCTATTTTGTTACAAAAATCTACATTCAACTCGATTTTATCGTTTTTAGCGCACAGTTTTAACCATTGGACTCCCCATACGAAAGCAGTGGCACATTCTAAAACAGGAGACTCCATTTCAAAAATTATAAAACCTTGAACTTACTAGCACGAATTAGTGCTCTAAAATCGTTAAAAGTAGGACATTGTTGGATGTCTCTATAGTAGATTTCGAGTCCTTGTCCAGTGAAGAATCGAATACCTAAAGTAATATAATCATCAAGAGCGATGTCCTAAATGAAAACATAAACAGTAACAAAGAGAGAAATTTTCATCAGTGGTTGTTGGTTACCTCCCGGTTTTCCGCATAACAGAGTACATTTTTCATTATTAGAACCATCTTGTGTAGTGTAGCATACAGAGTTAGCGGAATTCCATAAACCATGTGGGCAGAAGGAAGTCCTCTGCGAAGTATCGTTCCGTCCAGAATATCGTCTACTCTGGAAAAAGTACATGGATTAAAGTAGGTAATTAAATTAAGGTGAGTATAACGAAACTTACATAATAAGCATTTCGTATAATCCACTTTCAATATCATTAAACATTTTCAATTCGTATTGAGGGCACTTTACCCAAACATTGCAAGCACCAAACAGTCGGTTAAAAATGTTCCGATCTTCTCGGCCCGCTTGTAAAATGTGTTCCACGCCAGTAAACACAGTTACGTTGTAGCGATGTTAATGCCACTTAACTCTGTCTACGATCTTGTTAGCTGTTACATCCCAAACTGCGTACGTTTGCCTTCCCTGTGCTATGTAATGTAATCAACAGTGGCCCATGCTTGTAACATACTGGTGATATCCACATTGTTTCAGACTAGAGACGTGCTCGCTGGTACATCATCATAACGTTGTGTTAGTATGTCGCTAGATTCTCTATATTTTGATGTATCTGTTACGTTTTATTTTAAACGCCAATATAACGTATTAAATGGACATAGACGTTACGTATATATCGCAACATCGCAAACATATGACTCTCAGTATATTTTATTAACATGATCTATGTGATATGAATAGGCATTTCAGAAAGTCTAGTTACCATTTAGGGATATGGATATGGAGAGTAAAATTTAGAGCTTACAGTAAATTATTATTTTATTCAATGTTTGAAAAAATATAATATGTAATAAGTAATAAAATACAAAAATTAATATAAATTCATAATATAAATAAATAAATATATATATGATTTCCTAATTCGAAAATAATACAATATAATTTACACTTAAAAAAAGACACAGAAACTATAAACTGTCGTTGTTTTTTCTTTCTTCAGGCGTTGACTAGAATGCCGTAGCCACTCTGAGCAGCGTTGTTCTACTTCTTTTTCTATTGCGGAATGGGTCTTCATTGTAATTTCTTCAAAAATAAAAATTGTAATAATTATATTTATTGCAAAAAAAAATACCTTTCATAATATTCATTGTTTTTGTCCCAGCCATTTTGGAATTTTCCTACCGAACAAACAAGCTACAGCAAATTCACTGAATTTTTATTTTTTTTTTAATATACCCCCCACATTGTTCTTTTTCCCATTACCACCTATCTGGGACAATAGCAGTTTCTGAAATAAGAAAAGAAGAAAATATTTTTATGTGTATATATCGAGTGACTCTGAAATAAGTTCGGAAAATAAAATCACAACATCACGAAGTAGAGAAAATTTTAAGTAATTTCTTTTATCTAGTCCTAATTCAGGGGAAAAAATATCAAGATCTACACCTCATTCAGTGCCATTTGTTTTCATCTAAACAACACACAGCAAAAATAAAGAAAAAATTTAGTCACAATGGAAACTGAATAAATCATTGCCGCATCATTTACATTTAACAAGATGTTCCGTATTTGTTTCATGAAACTGGAGCAGCAATTTAATTACTTTGAATCCGTGTGACAATTAAAGGATTTTTTTTTCCGAATCTATTTGGAAGTCACCGCGTACGTATAACATACAGGGTGCTTCACTATAAGACTTTTCTGCAACCCACTATGTATGTAACGTGTTAAGCGAAATGTGTCATGTTTAGTAGGTTCCTAAAAAGTGTTATAGTATTACAGGCATCTACCTGTATATAATATCCAAAATTATGTTATATGTAAGTACATATAAATATATTTAGTCCAGTCATTTTAGCATAAAAAAGGGATCAACCTCGGAATGAGAGACAATAAGCTGAATTATTGTATACGCCTTAATTTTGGCGTTCTAAAAGTTGTCTCAAAAGTCTCATAAAATCTCGTGTCTGCGTCGTAAGTTATTCAAGGTCAAAGGTCAAGAAACAGTTTTTTGCAATTATCTCAGTTTCTATTGCTCCAATGATGTTAACAATTATTACCATAATCGTAGAGCACAAAATTTGGGACAAATTTTATTTGAAATATTTTTTCATGCGCTCAATCGTTTTTGAGATAGAGGACAGTGAGCGCGCAGCGCTCGTCCATACGTACTGTAATGCAATCAACCGTGAATATCTGTGAATACTACCTTGAATTTTGAATAATTTGTATTATTAATCAATTAATACATTGTATTTAATAACATTTTACATATTTTCAATATATTCATAGAATAATACTTACCTACTTTGTGTAATTAAAAACTCATTTAATGAAATATTTATTGTATATCTCAATTTATTTATATCTTTAAAATGTGTAAGTTTTTAAATACTTATTTTTCTATCATGATTATAACTGGAAGGTCTGGAAACAACAATTCAGGGCACCGAAGATGACGACGATGAAACAGAAATTCCCGAACGTCCAGAAGATGACGGTGAAGAAGAAGAAAATTGATACTTTTGTTCTTTAAATTATTAAAAATTTATAGATTTTCACTGCAATTCAATTTCAATCGTAAGAAATGTACAGCTGCTGAATAAAGATAAAATTAAAATATATTAACTCGTTTTACTTCCTTAAAATTTACTTTGAAAACATTAATATAACTTTAAGATATATAATAATCTAACCTAAGATATACCTACAATAAATATGTCATTTAAAGAGTTTTTAATTACACAAAGTAGGTAAGTATCATTAAATAAATGTATTGAAAATATGCAAAATGTTATTAAATGCAATGTATTAACTGATAAATAATACAAATTTTTCAAAATTCAAGGTAGTATTCACAGATATTCACGGTTGATTGCATTACAATTACAGTATGTATGGATGAACGCTGCGCGCCCACTGCCCTCTATCTCAAAAACGATTAAGTGTATCAAAAAATGTTTCAAATAAAATTTGTCCCAAATTTTGTGGTCTACAATTATGATAATAGGTGTTAACATCATTAGAGCAATAGAAACCGAGATAATCGCAAAATAATGTTTTTCTTGACCTTTAACCTTGAATAACTTACGACGCAGACACGAGATTTTATGAGACTTTTGAGATAACTTTTAGAACGCTAAAATGAAGGTATATACGAAAATTCAGCTTATTATCTCTCATTCCGAGGTTGATCGCTAATTTGACTGGACTAATTGTATTTTTTTAACTTACAAAGAAACCTGCTTGTTGTAGTAGGCAAAGATAATCTTCTAATTCCTCAAAATTTGGTTACTTGTGGTCTTGGCGGCATATCTTCTATTACTGTTTTCTTTTTGATTTGTCACATTTGATGACGTTTTCATATTGGAGATTTGTTCACTCGTTTCCTTTAGAATTTCTTTTGTTTGGCACATATTTTTTGTATTTGTTTCAAGTCTAGAGTAAAATTATGTTCATTAGCACCTAGTTCATAAAAAATTGCAGTAACATACCTTTGCAACATGTTATGGCAAAGCGCCTCACTTTCAAAAACAATCACCGTAAGTTCATCAAAATCAGCGGGAGTATCGTCAGTGATTAATGGTGGTATTTCCAGCTTGTCTGAAAAAACTGTTGTTGTTATTTACGTACAGTTATCAAAAACAACAGAAGCATGTAAAAATTAAAATGATTACTTCATTAGAATTATATTAACTTACCTAGTGTAAATTCAACCCACACTGAATGGCACAATTTCACAAAACTGCATTAAAAATGAAGTGAGTTACGGATTCACGAGAAAGGTTCGGTGGTTGTGAACCAAATGGCTAAATGGAATTCGACAGCTTCACTGTGAGTGTGAAGTGCAATAACCATAAATACGGAAAAAAGGGATCGTCCGACTCATAGACAAACCAAACCAACAAAGGTCCGACTGCACCCCCCAAACATCTGGTGGATAGTAAATGCAGAAGTTGAGCGTTACTTTTTCATTAGATAAAATAAATTTAATAAAATCAAAATTAACCACTCTCTAGTTTTTTTGCTACCCATCATCGCTTTATAAACGTCTTTATAAAATCAAAATTCGACGAATGAACTCTTCAAAACCTTGTCCCGTTTCAGGGACAATGGGCAAAGAATTTTTATGGCTTTGTTTGTGTCGTTGGGTCTTCCCTATATTACCCCAGATGTTTAAGGTGACCAGACGTTCCGATTTGATCGGAACTGTACCGATTTCAATACTCTAATAATTCCGATTTCAAATTTCGTCCAATAAATGTTCCGATTAAAACATTCGTTCCGTGAATGTTCCGATTTCTATAAATCTGATAAGAATAAAGATAAATCCTCGGATAAATCACTAATTTTCATGAATAGTAATTTTATTTTGTGAAAAATTGCGAACAAAACTTGTATCGATACTGTTTTAAATGTCAGCAGATGTCAGTACTGTTAGTATATTACACCTAAAAATTTTTAAAGCAGTTATATATCAGATTACGATGGAAATGGAAACTAATGTTCCGATTTCGGACTTTTGAAATCTGGTCACCTTACAGATGTTCTATTTATAATTTGCCAAGCAGGTACTTACAAAATAACATTTCAAGTGAACAAGTTTACAGAAATAATTCTTAGAAATTATTACAATGAAAAAAACTTGTCTTTGGTGTATTTCTAATAAAGCCGTTGTATTTTTCGCTCTGAATATAATTATTAATTCAGCATTACGAACTCACTGACGAAGGTCACTTTTTAAAGAATACGACGACCCACATCTAATTGACCATATAATCTTTAACAATAAATTTCAAATAATACCATAGTGGTTTATTTAAATTTTGATAAGGTGTTGTAAAACTATTTCTGTTTCTGTTTTTATTCCAGGTACTGTATTTACGTGGGCAAAGGATGCCGTACGTGGGATTTTAGGGGCGGAAACGTATACCTGCTTAAATACTGTAAATACAGTGGTGTCGAACGAAGACAACAACAGAAACATACCCGATGTATTGGTTATTATTAGAGAGCGGATTTTATGAAATTTGCATATCCGTTATTTTTTGTATATAAGTCTTGATATTTAATATGTAGACAGCGGATTTCTGTCGGGCTACGTCACAATTATAGGTGGGGACGCGCTGCATCGCCGGGACTCAGTAGCGGGTGATAGGTAATCACTGAATTTAATTGTCACTTTATTCGATAAATACAATTAACGATTTATTAATCAAACGGCTAAGTAAATGAGAACTGGAATTAACAGCAGAGTGCAACGAAGCAGCGTTATTCTAATCTCAAATAAACGAAGTGCAGCCGGTAACTGCAATGAATTCCCATCCCGTACGAGCCGTACCGAGTTTGGCCTTGT